GGTGTACTATAGTTATCATGTTTTGCTCATTGTGTCCTTCCCTCCATTATTCTCTTGCACAAATCTCTCCATTCTTTCTTTGTGTCCTTCCTTCTGTTGCTCCATTGGAAGATTTATTCTTATGTGTCCTGAATGTACATCTTCACCATGTCTACCTTCCTTTCTGTTCCTGTCCTTCACATCATCGTTCTTTTGTGTATTTCATTTGTTCCTTTCTCTTTTGCATCCTTCCTTTCGTTCCTCAATTTCTACAATAATTTATTTAAACCCTTCAGTCCTTCCCTTGTCCATTTGCCTCCTACTGTCCTTCCTTCTTTATGTCCTCCTGCCCTCCATTTGTTCTGCTCTTGTTCACTTCCTTTCATTTTCATGTCCTTCATTCGTTAAAGTGAATGTGAATGAGACTTCTGAAAAGTCTTGTTGTGTTTAATGTCAATCAATAGATTAATCACATACAAAGCATGAATGCCAAGCACATGTGTCACGCAGTTTGCAACTCCTATCTATCCAAGGACCCCCTCCACAGACAGAAAATTACCAATAAAAGGCAGAGTCTATTCATCTCTCTTGGATGCAGAGCAGCCAAGTCATGGCCTTCCTTGCAGCTTGCCAGCTTGTATAAATCATACCAGGTTTATTACAACTAATCTATACCTCAGAATCAACCCACTGGGTTCCTGTCCATTGCTGACGATAAGCCTCAGTGGGTTTTCTTATCTGTCTGATAAAGTACTTTATTTTTTTGGAAACATTGAGCTTTTTATTTTTTTACAACAAATCTCAGAAGGCCTTTATATATTTGATAGTAAAAAAAAAAAAAGCATGTTTGAACAAAATGTTCGTATCAGATTGCTTCCTTATATCCCTAAGTGTTTCTTCTAAAGAGAAATGAAATTCATGCTGAGAAGACTGGCTGGGTATGAGAGGGTCCAATCTAGAGGGGGAAAAAAAGTCGTATTTTGATTGAGCATTTTTGTACATTTTCAAACAATGTTAAAAGCTGAACAGAAAGCCAAGATGAACAGCCTCCTGGGGGCGCGGAAGGGGGAGGCATGTTTGTTTTCTACAAATTACCACTGGGAGCTCAAAAATAAATTTTGTGAGATACTCACTGGGACTACACATTTAAACAGACCAGAATGCAGAATATGTAATTTGCAAAAGAGAAAGCCCCGATCATGGATTTTTTTTTCAATGAAATCTTATCAAAAAGGGAAATTATATCTATTTCTAATTGCATCACTTTAGCCGAGATCAAATATATGATATCTGTTCTTCCAGGAAATAGTTCCCCCTGTAAACCAAAGATCATGTTAACACAGAGTAGAAAGGCTCAATATAGGACTCCAAAAGTAAAATGGAAAGAAAGCAGATTATGACTAAACCTTTGGTCTGCAATGCGGAGTCTGCGATTTGGAGTCATCCCATCCTCCTGGGACATAGTAAAAAAAACCTAATAAAGTATATGGATGAAGTATTCATTTCTGTTCTCAGACGAACATCAACCAGGAATACGACCTGCACTAAAACAAGAAAAACCAAAGACCAGTATTGTCAAAGTAGTACATCGAGCCAACTACCACTAGGCTTTTTAGCAGTGGGGAGCTTCTTGTGACACAAACCCCACCAAAAAAAACATACATATGCCCTGTTCATACTACAGGCAAATGGGGCCCAAATCTGGTTTTTGGGAAGTCAAGTGATCACATCAGACTTTTTAGAATAAGCGTGAACACTCAGATCTGGGTCATATTTGACTATCTTGTAGTCAGATTTGCATCACTTCCATATGTGGTCCTTATTCTGCTTCATATCCAATCTTGTTGAATGTAATTCCAGTGGGATCCACCAAAGCGGTTGTGATGTGACTTTGACATTACGGATTGTGTTAGCGGTTTCATAGCAGTCATTAAAAGTGGCGCTCCATGCTGCTTTGACCTAAGGAAACCTTTGATCTGCTTTCCTTGCATCATGCTTGGGTTATGTTACTAAAGAGGACCTTGACTCGTCTCCATTTGATCTGATGTTTGGTCAACCTCTGCATGTCTCTGAACAGTTTTTGCCTGAGGTCCACTCACCACATTTTACTCCACCTGTCCAGCATATTTTACCCTAGGGGGGCTCTTTACATTCCCGTTACTGGACACTAGTGTTTGCCCAATCATTTGTCCCAAAAAGCTTATAGATTTTTAAAATGTTTTGTTCAGACAGAACACCACCACTAAAAATATGTAGAACAAATATCCTTTTTGGCACTTGCCATTACTCTGTTGTATCATACTCTGGTGATCTCAGTTGAAGTTGAGTAGACTAGGTGATCAAACCTAGCTCCTTTGTCATTGTTTTTACTCATCTACAATTGATTTAAGAAATAGCATGCCATTTCAGTCCATCTCATCACCCCATTTCAGGAACATACAATATTTGATGTTCCTGCACAACGGTTGCTAAATCCAGAAGTAAGCCAGATCTCCCTGGTGAGTTACAGCTTGATACAGCCTGCAGGCTCAAATGAAAAACAAGCAGCACTAAACATAGGTCTGTTGTAAAATTTTAGATTGTTATCACAGTGTTGTATTCTGCTAATATAAACAGCTAAAATCATCTAAAACAGGTACTGGCTAGCGTTTTAGCCGTTATCCTCCCTGAAGACTTATTTCCTTTCCAAAAAGTTCTCAGAGATGTAACATTTGCCTAGTACAGATTAGAGACCTATTACAGAGGAAGTGATTCTTGAGAACCTTACTTCCAAACATCCACCCTGTGTCTTTAATCTTGGATGGATTTTGTCTTATAACTTAAGAGCAAACCATTTGTTATTGTGCTGACTCTTCTAATGGATGTTTAAAGAGTCTTTCTCTCTCTATCTGCAGCTCTCTCTCCCTATTGCTAACCAGAATATTATTATTAAATGAAAACATTTTTGGAAGTGTGTTTTTTTTTAGGATTCTGAAGCAGCTATCAAACAATTCAACACAATGAACAATTTTGCCTGAAAGTGACACATTAAAGTTACCAGAGAATCGGTTACATAATGGGATAATATTTTGCAGCTTTGCACTTTTGCCTGGCACAATTTACATTTTTGACATTTCCTCAGCTAAAGATGATTTATGGTGAAACACAAACTGCTAAAATATTTCATCGCTAGTCAGCCGAGTCCCCCAGAAGTTGTCCTTTCTATCCCTGTTCATTCAATAACTTTATTCTCTCCCTTACATATATATATGAAATGTCCTTTTTTTTTTGTAATCTCTCCATTCTAGTTATTGTTGTTGTTCTGGGATTAAAACCACTGCAAATCACAGCAGCTTTAAACCAGGACACACTCAGCCACCTTGGTGCACGCAATGTGGCAACACAGACGTAGCTTTGGTCACAGAATAGTGACAGCAGAGCATCCATCCTGCAATGTGAGTTTTATAATGTTTGCTTGAAGACATTTGGGGAAAACTTAAGCTTGAGCTGCATGTGGTAGAAAATTGCACCTTGATGTCACTGCTCTGAGTAGCACTTAGATTAACCCTCCAGCTAAAATTTCCCCCCCAAAAATGTACTTCCTCCTTTGCCTACTACAATGGACTGGCTGACTGCCAGTCCAAAACGGCACAGAAAATCAGCATCAAAACTCAAAATCAATTTCAATGGGAAAAAATGGGAAAGATTGAGCACTGAAGGGAGATCAGAATAGAGCAAATTGCACAGGAGGGCAATTATTGGCTACATTTAAACACATTTTAAAGTGTTTTTAGTGACACTATGTTTTTATTTGCTTACCTTTTGTTCACTGAAGCTGGAACGCTTACTGGACTGTGGGTCGAAGGCACAGATTTGTTTTGTTAATGAGTCCCCGCTGATGCATTTAAGACATGACAGGCACTGTCATGCTTTCAGTCACACGAGGAGCCAACAGCTCGGTGCCAGAAGCAGACGACTGCCTGAAAGCTGGCAGAGGCTCCAGGTTGCAAAGCAGATGCCTGGAGATAACAAACGGATCCCATCAAAATCAGAATAACAAGACCTGAAATAGCTGGAGGAATAAATTCAGCGCAGTTTCTGTGTTTAATGAGCTGAAATAACATTGTAAGCATAAATACTGTGGTACATAGGTTTTGGTCATGATTGCCCAGTTTTTTCATTAGATTTGCTAATTTGCGTTTTTTTTTTTTTTTTTTTTTTTTTTCTTTTGCTGTACTCCTCTTTTATGTTCAAGAATATGCTTTATTTCCATTATTTTACTCTTGTCTTTGGTTTTCTGGTTCACTTTGAATTACTTAGATGTATCAAATTATATTTACATCAAATTACAAAACTACTATTTTTTCATAATAATAAACAGGCATCCTTTTTTCCAGTCATGCCCATCAGTTTGTTGGTTTATTGGCTCGCTTTGTTCTCCTCCACTTCTGTTGTTTCATGCTACCAGATGTGCCTGATCTCTGTCCATTGCTTTTAGTTTTTCTCCTCCCCCTTTTTTGTTGAATTCATGTTTTATTCCTGCACTTCTGAATTGACTTTTTCTGTGCCCTGTTCGGTGTATTGACATAAATATATTTCAGTGTTTTGAGTTCCGATTTTCTCATGATAGAAAGCAAATATTATGATTGCATTTTCACTATTTGCTGCCATTTCTAGGGATGGGTTAGTATTTTCTAACCCATCCCTTTTTTGTATTGGGGATCATCTTATAATTCTGAAAAAAAATCCTTCTTGTGACAACAATTTTGACAAACTCCATTTAGTTATGACTGTTTAGTTTGGATTGTATATTTTACTCTTTCTGCACTGCTGGTATCATGAGAGGATCAATCCTTTTTAATAAAGTCAAAGATATGATTAAGCACAGTTACTGTGTGCAGTAATGATACAAATCCCAGTTCCATGTATACCTAATGTCCTGATAAAGCCTATTTCTGCCAGGACTCTGGATTTTTGGATTTTGTTTTGCTTTTCATCTTATTTATCATTATGTTTTAGTTCACTTTAGGTTAGCCCTTTGTTCTGCCCAGGCTGGATGTTTTGATTAGTTTTAAGAAAGTTCTATTGATTTCTCTGTGTTTTATTTTGGAGGAGAATTTTTAGAGAACAGTGCATTGTGGGTATCAGAGGCTGTTGCAGTTTGGAATACCTGTTGGTAGAGAGAGAGCCTGCCTGTTAATGTGTGAACTGCACCTCCTGTGTTAATCTTTGCTTGCACCTCCGAAAGCAATGGCTGTGAGTCAATCTTCTGTTTTGTTGGTTTATTTTGAGATTGTTTTTTAAATGTTTTTTGTTCTAGAAAAGCCATATTCTGAGTTTTTATTTACATAGCAACAGTTGCTACATAACTGCTTTTTAACTGAAGCTCAGGTTAATTCTGTTCCGTCATAAGAGGGTTATTCTTTGTATTCAGAGCTGATGTATGTTTGTTTTTCTGTTTCTTGTAGTTTCACTCAACTTTTCATTGAGCTTTCTACACTACTGCTCAAGTTGTGTCAAGAAAGCATATTAAAGGAGCAAGACGCTCAGCTTCCTGGCTCATGAAATTGAGTTTGGCTTGCTGTTGACCTACGTTAACATACAGATTATCTAACACGTAGTGATAACAGTACACCCTTCATGGACATTTTAGTTTTATTATTTTAGGTATTTATTGTGGTTAGAACTGTCTTGTTCTTGCTTTCCTTATTTTAGTCATTCATAGTGTTTCTAGTTAGGAATATTTTTCAGTTGCACTAGGTTCAGTTATTCTTTGAGTCTGTCTAGATTTCTTTAGTGATTACAGTTAGATTATTTTTATTTAATTCTGGTTGTTCCTTATTTCAGCCCCCTGTACTGTTTCTAGTTAAGTTTATTTCTTAGTTGTTTCGTCACCCAAGGTTCAGTTATTCTTATGTCTGAGTCTATATATACCTTCCTGTAGTAATACTAGTTAGGTTATTTCTTTGTTTAGTCATTCTAGTTACTCTAGCTGTATTTTCCTTAGTTCTTGTTATTGTTAGATCAGCATTGTTTCTGTTTAGGTTTGGTTGTGGTTTCCCTCGTGTTTATCAGGTTTTCTTTAGTACTAGAAGTATTTTCAGAACCCCAGAATATATTAGCCTCTTTAAGCCACCTTCTCCCTGCCCCTCAGCTAGCTCCTGTGCCAACTACTCACCTGCAATCAGTGATCTCATCTAGCGAGGTCCATTGTTCCAGTTGCTACGTCTTTCTCAGTCACAACTCGCCAGTCTGTCTCATCACTTTGTTTTTGTTTTCTCTGTTATTTACTATCTGTTTCTCTATGATCCCCTGCAGTCTTCAGTTCTGATTTGTTTTTTGGATTCTTTGCGCTCCCCTGGATTGTTCATTTGGAAGTTTTGTTCCTCTTCTTCTTTTTTTTTATTTTTTATATTAAATTTTCAACTCCACCCTCCATCTCCAGCCTGTTGCATTTTGGGTCCACACCTCAACTACAATCATGACAATTTCATAATTGGCAACTGTGTCTGTGTCTAGAAAGTCAGCAAAGAAGGTGTAAATATGTTTTAGTGTCACCTTTATCAATATTACATTAAAATGCCAGAACATATTTTGATAAATACTAAAAGAGGCTTTGCCAAACTTTTAACATTAACAGTTTATCCTCTCATTCTTCACTCTATATTTGCAGTTCTCATTTTAAACAGGAGATGTCGCCTTAGAGACAAATTGCCTCTGTTCAACAATTAATAGCAGAAGAAGAAATATAGCGGAAATGCGTGTTTCATGCAACTCAGTTGAATCATTTACATTTAACCTTGCTAATTAGGTTTAGTAACGTCTGTGATAAATATGCTTGGAAAACAAATGTGCCTTTAGTTTCTACGCTGATGTACTTTCTGATATTTTATCTTTCTGTCTTATGCAGAACATGCCAAAAGGTTTCAAAATGGGGATGTGTAAGATCAGCTGAGATCATCCAAGCAGAAAAATGAGAGGCATTCATTTCCCCATCAGGGTCTCATCACCAAAACAAAATACTTTGATACCCTTGAATACCCTTGATTTAGAATTATGCTTCTAAGTCTGCAGACTTGTTTCCAACTTGGGATCTGGGTCTCTGATGTGACAGTCACATGGTGAGTGTAGATCATTCAAGCAAATGAATAAGGATGTAAAGTGGAGAAATGACTGACTGTCATCACCTCATGCACAGTACGAATCTGTTCTCTCAGTGAAATCAACTCTGCCACATCCGATCGTTCAAGATTGATCCAATGTGACTCCACACAGTCAGCTGGGTTTCTTTAGATAACTAGTTCCATAATAAATAACTTGATTGCATTGTATTACAGGATGAAATTAGAATGGATGAGGTTAAAGCTGCCTATTATCATCATGAGTTTAATTATAGTTTCTGTATAAATTGGACCTGTCTGTCTTGTAAAGTGACTTGAGATGGCATTCGTTGTGAATTGTGTTGTTCCAACACAACGTTGTGTTACTTTACTCCCTTTTTAAAGTTTCTGTGACACGGTGCAGTAAATGTTTATTGTGCAGTTATGGTGGTGAATTAGACCTAATTTCAGACAGTATTGTGTTGCTTGTCCTATCAGTGAGCACCACTTTTGCTGTATTTAAAAACCTTTCAAAATTAGGCAACAGAACAAGCCTGGCACAAAGTAAGTCTATGAAGCTAACAAAAGCAAGCATGCAATCTACATTAGCTCTCATGTCACACATTCATTTTTGCATTTACATTTTATTTCTCCATTTCCTCACCCTTGATAAACAAATAAAGATTTAACTTTTGTTTCTTCTACCTCCCTGTTGTCAGAGGTCTACATTTGAGTCACAAACAGAGGAACTGAGAGAAGTTCTTATAGAGAAGAAATCATAATGACCTTACGTAGGGCCTCCCAAAAGACCGAATTTCAGGTATATACTCGAATTTTAACTCAGCCGAACAACCATGTTACTGCAGGTGATTACATGTGCTGAGGCAGCTGGCTGTATCAGTCTCACTCCACTGAGATAAGTCATTCTATTGTTATTTCTTAAACAAAAGGAGGAGGAATATGTGATGGAAAAGACTCTTTCTAGGGAGATAATATCTCTTAAAGCCACAGAGGAATAACTGCTGGATAAAGAAAATGAGCGGAGCTGAAAAGGGACAATGCCTGTCTTGAAAGTCCAAAGAAAGCATAATATGCCAGGTGGTGAATATGTGATTAGACCATTCATTTTCAAGCACGTCTCCAGTGCTACTGCTGCCATGAGTCAAACTTTGAAAGAACAAATCACAGTGTGGATGCTGCCAATTAAATGTGTCTTTATCGCTCAGAAGTTAGAGTTACTTACCCTCCTATGCTCTATTTTTTTTTTTTTTTAATCATTTTGTATTTCTACTCTCCTAAGAAAATCATCCAACTTCAGATTGACCCAATCAAAAGGTCAAGGGCAGACAGTCTGACATAGAGTGCTTAAAGAAAACCATTAAAACCATTGTTTTGTGTTATAAGCCATGTAGGAGACAAAGCCAGAATGGGGTAAAGGGCGTTGGGGCCAGATGACATAAAAATTTGTTACTGTTAAAGGCATACCCAAAAAGAGCTGGAAACAGTGAAATGTGGTTCTAAAAAGTATTGAATTGGCTGGAATATGAACAAATGTACCCTATGTAGGCTACTAATAAAATCACTTTTTAAAGCTATAGGTTTCAAATTTAGATTTTTTTTTAAATTTGTGTTTATTTGTAAAAAAAAAATAAAATAAATAATAAATAATAATAATAACATACTATTCCTGCCACTTCACCATTTTAGTCCATACAACAATTTCTCTTGGAATATCACTTAATATCCCAACGAATCACATTAGCTACTCTAAAGTAGTATGTTGTAAATTGGATTTATTGATGACGGAAAAAAAGGTCATAAAAAATAATGACTACAATCTCGCATCTCGGTCAGTTTTCCAGCCCACTGATGCAATTACTCCAGCTCAGTAGGTGGCAGTAATGCACCTAAAATGTCTTTGCCTTCTGCAAAGAAGACGCACATGCAGTGCTACTGTACTTTTGGCCGTATTCATGTCTATGCTTTTAGCCTACTGTATCACTTCACAGCAAATATGCACCTCCAAACATAGACGAGAGACATTACCTACTAGAATCTTGGCACAGTTTCATAGCCAAAACATGCAAGTCTACATCAAATGTGTGTGTTTACATCAACATATGTTTATTCTGTGTTTCAGCTCCCTGCTAAAATGTATCTAAATTAAAAGAAAAAAAAAACTATTGCTACTGCACCACCTATTGGTATTTGACAAAATTGAAGTTAGAATTAAATTAATCCTGATTTTTTTCATTACAAAATCTCTGAATAATGTTTTTTTTTTTCACTGCACAGCATGACTAATTGTTTTGCATGCCTTAAATCCACTCAGGGATTTAAGCCATGCAAAACAGTCATATTAGCCATTAGTCTTAAAAATATATGTGAAACTTATTTGCTGTGTTTGCAGACTAGTGAGAGCTATTTAAATAATAATAATAATCTTTGAGATATTGAGAGAACATGCACGCTTTCTGTGGATACCAAGTTCCAGTTAATATGAGTGAATGAATAAAAACAAATCTAATATAATGTAAAGCTACTATTGTTACACAGGGAGTCTGTTCTGGATGCACAACAAAGAGCCCAAGACTGAACAGTTTCCCTTAAGTCACACTTTGAAAGGAGCTTCCTGCCAGTAATACATGAGAGAGTGCAAAGAGCCACTTCAACTTGTTTAAAAGCCAGTGGCTACTTGTGATTTTCACATCCATTCTCATGTCTTTTCACATTATTACCGCCGTAAACATTCATAAATAAACATCAAGTGAAGTGAAGAAAGGCTTCACCTGATGGGAATTTTTCACACAAAAGAAGTACAAACAAAAAACATTTCACCAACTTAAAACGAAAAGTGAAAGGGTAAAAACTTTAAGTCGATTCTGACAACAGGGCTAAACAAAGAGGAAGATGGGATTTTTTTTTTTAAATGATGGGATGTTAAAAATTCATCACTGCTGACAGCTTTACTGTAAGTCTGAAGAGAAACAATTGCAAATTCTCTAAAATTCAATGTAAATCTCTATACAGTAAGCTCATATATATATTGCATTATAGTTTCCAAGTACTGGAGCACCATTTCTTAAAGTAAGTGTCAAGAGAAATTTGTCCTCAAACACGTTACATTTTTTCTTCAGTCAGTTCTGAACATGTTTTTTTTCTCAATTTGAGCTCTGCACTGAAAACCATTGTTAACTTGAGAAGCAATTAGCCTCCCTTGACACTTGTTATTCTTAACAATAAATCACTTCTTCCGTCATTAAATGTAAAAAGCTTCCATGTAACTGCTGTTGTAAACCCATAATATTGTTGAAAGAAAGTGTATGAGGAGCTGCTATGACTTTAATGAATCAGAATGACAAGTGAGCAATTGCTTGCATGAATTCCAGGACAACAGATCCCACATTGGGTAGAGAAAGCTAGCTGGTGCATCCAGCTCACACCTGCGCATACCAATTATTCCACAGACTCTGGCACTGACTGAACACCACAGCCCAGGACCAAAAAAAAGCAGCAAGAATATGTGGGGATATGCTAGAAAACAAAGGAGAAAAAGACAAATTGTTTTTCCATTTCAACTGAGCGAGCACAGCGAGATATTTATCAGCAAATTATTAAGTTAAACTTTCACAAATTCCTGCCAAAAATTTCTTTTGACTAGGGACCCACATGCACCAAACAAATAAATCCAAAATTGAGGCACTGCAACCTTTGAAGGCCACATTTGAGGGCGATTGCATCACAGCGTTGGGTTGAAGGCTAACTAAAATGGAAGGCTCCTCCTAGTGCA